GCAGCAGTCGACGAGCTATTTGGGGCAATATTGTGGGGGGCATCCTCGGGCATCTTCGCTGCATGCCAAAAACTTCAACGACTGGGTCACAATGTGGAATGCCATGGGAGCAAAATCAATGAATGTTGGCATTCGGAAACATCGTGGGGGTGTTTTCGGGGCCCTCGTGGGCAGTTTTGGCGCCTTCATGGGCCGTCTTGCGGCCTTCTTGGGCCGTCTTGGGGAGCTTGGGCCCGCTGGAGCCCCCTTTGGACCCATCTTGGGCACTTCCGGGGACCTCCCATGGCCCTTTTGGGTCTGTGCTGGGAGCCCTTGGGGGGCCTCTTGGGTCCATCATGGGCTGCCTTGGGGCTCTCGTGGGCGATCGTGGGGCCGGGCTCGGCCGTCTTGAAGCATTCTTGGGGGCCTTTTGGGGCGTCTTGAGGCGATCGCGGGGGCTTTGAAGCCGTCTTGAAAGCTGATGAAATCCGAAAGCCGAATATGCTAAACTTGTTTTACGAAGGGAATGAGACGATTTTTGTGTTTTGAAGGCCCCTTGGAAAGCTTTTTGGGGTACCTTGGGGGTCTTTCGGGCCGTCCTGAATCAATTGGAGTCCCTCTTGGAGCGCTCTTGTGCTGTCTGGGGCCTCCCTTGAGCCTTTCTGATGACCCCTCTGATCGCTCTGGGTCTGCTGGCAAGGCGTTTGTGGAGACCCGGAAAGCCGGGTGACCTTTTCCAAGGACGTCCAAGGGAGCCCGAGAACCCCAGGTCCCCAGGATCCAGTTTTTTTGGGGAGGGGGGGGAGGGGTGACGGTTTCCCCCCCCCCGGGCTCGTAAAAATACAGGAAGAGGAATATGTAGAGAGAGATATGTATCGGAGAACGCCAAGGGCGGGCCCAGAACCACGGCCCGAGTTCGCATGGGGGCCCTGGGGGCACCACGAGCGCCCCCGTGGCCTCCACTGTGGCCCCGTAGGCGTGCAGATGGCCCACAAATTGGCACGATAGTCTACCGGGCCAGTCCATCACACTCCAAGAGCGCCGAAGCGGCCTTATGAATGGCCTCCGAAGGTTGCCATGCTGCGCCAGGACGGCCTCGGGCAGGCTTCAGTAGGCGCCCGAGGCCCCAGACGAGTGCCCCTGGAGGCAAAAGTCGTTGATTTCGTTTGGTGTTTCCATGTTTTTGGGGTCCAGCACTTTTCGAGTTTCAGACAGTCGCAGACGGCCTAGGAGGCCCACAAGACCGCCCCAAGACGGGCCAAGAGGCCCCGAGGAGGGCCCCGGGACAGCCTAACAGGGCTCCATGACAGCCCCAGGGGCGCCCAAGACGGCCCAAGATGGCTTAAAGACGGCCCCAAGATGGGCTCGAGCGGCTCAAGAGGGGGAGCATGAACCGAAATTTCGAGTCCTTCGTCCCAAGAGGCTCCCAGGAGGCCCCGAGAAGGCGCCAGGACGTCCTCGGGCAGGCTTCAGTGGGCGCCCGAGGTCCCAGACGAGTGCCCAGGGAGGCGAAAATTGTTGATCCCCCTTAGGTTTTTCAATGTTTTTCTTTGCCCTCCACTTTTCAAGTTTCCGACGCTCCAAGACGGCCAAAGAGGCCTCCAACATCGTTCGTACATTTTGGCTCAAGTTAGGGCTCCAGCGCCTTCGGATTAAGATTTTGTTGTGTTTGCAGGTTGATCTAGCTGACTTGACGCTTACCGTTGCACAAAATGGACTCTTCATGTCAGTGCATCCATGATGATGAATAGTTCTAGACCTTCGTGAACCCTCACCCACTTCTGACGACTGCAGGCGCTCCGCTGCTCCATCGCGCCGCGGGGGCGGCGTCAGTCTGGAATGGACCACCCCCCAGGACGGCCGACGGAAGTCAATTCCCCTTCAAGGATTGCAATAGCAACCGAATAGGGCGGTGGCGATTCGGAGATGGAGCAAGAAAGCTTCGGATTCAAGCTCCACTCGAAGAGTGATAACGTAGTTCTACTTTTAATACCATTCAGATATTGACGGGATTCTGGGTAGTTCTTTCAATCTAGGGATAAACCACCGGTATTCTCATGACGGTTACATTGCAACATGAACCATAATCATTATTATTCGTATTAGTATTACTTCTCTTACAATCAGATTTTAATACAAGTATATTTTTATAATTATTATTACTATTCTTATTATTATAATTAGAGTGATAATTATTATTGGTATTGTAATTATTAGTATTATTATTGTTATTCTTATTAATATTATCATTATTATTATTATCATGTACTGCTTTAGCAATAACTACATCGTTTCATCGGACGGCGGCATTTGATCATTTTCCGCGTTCCTACGATGCCTCGCGGGCGAGAATGTTTATTTTCGCGATTCCGCCGTGCTGGAGATATCGCTCCGTGCGGGGTGGGCGCGGTATTTGGGATGGGGCCGGCGTGAGGACGGCTGTCAATGCTTAACGCTTCCTGAGCGAGCCAGCGCCTAGAACTTCAGTGGTTGATCTATCAGGACCCGTGCACGTTTCTAAAAGCCAATGTGCGCGGCGCTAGGGCGAGAGCCATATTTTGAAACTGATCCGCCCTCAATCCGTACAACTCGTGCACATGCGTATAGCAGATATGCGCGGCGCTACGGCGAGAGCCATATTTTGAAACCGAGCCGCCCTCAACCCGTGAAGCTCGTGCAATTGTTCTAATTGCGCGCGGCGCCAGGGCGAGAGAGCCGGATTTCTTGTGTTTTATATATACACATATATACATATATAATGTATGTATGTATGTACGTATGTACATATGTATGTATGTGTATATATGTATATATAGACAAACGCCTTAAACCGTGAAACTCGTGCACACCTTGAAAAAACGAATGTACGCGGCGCTGAGGCGAGAGCTAGATTTTGAAACCGAGCCGCCCTCAATCCGTGAAACCAGTGCACATTAACAGCATGAGAAAACCATGTGCGCGGCGATGAAGCGATATATAGATTTTGAAACCGCGCCGCCCTCAATCCGTGAAACTCGTGAAAGTTTTTGAAGCGAGTGCGCGCAGCGCTGAAGCGATAGCAACATTTTGAAACCGTCCGTATTCAATCCGTGAAGCTCTTGCTAATGTTCTCAGTGAGTGTGCGCGGCGCTAAGGCGAGAGCTAGATTTTGAATCCGAGCCGCCCTCATTCCGTGAAGCCCGTGCACATTTTTGAAAACCAATGTGCGCGGCGTTGAGGCGAGAGTTAGATTTTGAAACCTTGCCGCCTTCATTCCGTAAAACCCGTGCACGTCTAATAAAGCGAATGTGCGCTGCGCTGAGGCGAGAGTGAGATTTTGAAACCGAGCCGCATTCAACCCGTGAAAGCCGTGCACGTAAACGAATGTGCGCGGCGCTGAAGCGAGAGCTAGATTTTGAAACCAAGTCGCCCTCAACCCGTGGAACTCGTGCAACTGTTTAAAGCAAGCGAGTGCGCGCGGCGCCAAAGCGAGAGGTATATTTTTTATGTATTAGAAAGAGCGGCCGCCCTCAATCCGTGAAACTCGTGCACAGGTAGAAAAGCGAATGCGCGCGGCGCGGAGGCGAGAGCTAGATTTTGAAACCATCCCGCCTTCACTCCGTAAATATTTTGCATATTTTCTCAGTGGGTGCGCGCGACGCCAAGGCGAAACCTAGATTTTGAAAACGAGCCTGAAGTGGGCGGATTGGTTTTTAGGTTTTGCTGTTTGCGCGATGCTATAAATATCACTCCGCTACTCACGCTACTCACCCACATGATTCTCTGGCGGTGCTAAGCTAACAAGGGGGGCTTAATACCTTTTAGGGGTATTCGAACCCATCTAGGAGGCCTCTAGACTTAGCGCTGTTATGGCCCCTCTTCGGGCTCCTGTGGATGATCGTCGAACCGTCCCGACGCGTCGGAAGCACCACGGAAGCGGCAGTCAGCATTCAACCATGCTGGTTTTCTGTTTGATGTTGAGTGACTTTTATGGGGAATTTTTAGCGGATCCAGGGCCACTGGGGGCCGCATTGGTGCAGTCTTGCAACATGATGGAGGCCATAATGCACTATCTTGGGCTAGAGTGCGCCATATTGAAGGCCATCTTTGGTAACCCGAGGGCCAGCTTGGATCCATAGGGCCGCCCTGAACGCTCTAACTGGTCGCGGGGGGCCGTTCATCCTTGAAACGGGAATTGGTGGGCTGGGAGAGCTCACTCCCTAATACTCTCTAAACTACCTGATGCGTGACGATGAGTGAGTGGCTAGTGATTTGTTCAGGCTTGATGCGTGAGGATCGTCGGATCTTTGAGCGGGTCCTTGGAGCCCCCGTTGCGGCCTAACGCGTCGCCGAGCCCCAACTTGGCCGGGCGCTGGGCCAGCTCGAGGCGCGCCGGGCCCCGGGGATTCCGCAGGCAGGGCACGTACTGCGAAGGCCTGCTGGGACCCCCGCTGGCGACCCCCTCCTGTGACCTGCCGGGACCCCCGGGGGGCGGTGTTCTGACCCGGGATTGCCCCCGCTCTCCCCTCCCCTTCCCCCCACCCAGCCCCACCACTGCCGCTGTTAAGGCCCAGTCCAGCGACCACCCCCCCCCTTTAAGTTTCGTTCCGTGCGTCGCCCGAGCGTCGCCCGTGCGCCGGCCCTGGTTTGCGCCTCTGTCCCGAACCCCAGCCTCCCAGAGTGCGTGGGGGGGGCGGAAGGGGTGGCAATGTGCCACCCCTTCCGCACCCCCCCCGGCAGGGAAGGGGTAAAGGGAAGGCGCTGCCCTTCGACTGAACTGCGACATTCCGTGTCCTTGTTTTTCAACTTCCGTGGGACTGCCGACGATGACGACGCCAGCGTCTCACACACGCCGAATGGTCGGTGGATTTCCATCTGGAGGGGACGAGGCGGTGAGGTGACCCCGATGCGTTGTTTTCATCGTTGCTAAATGTATTAGGGCGGGCGCAGCGTATAGGTTGATACCTATTCTGTTTCCGTAATCTCCTCGCGTGGACGCGCTTGCGGGCAGCGCCAGCGTCCCTTTCGAGTGACCCGACGAGGGCATCTTCGCGCTCACCTCCTGCATCACGCCGAGCCACAAGCTGTCGCACCTCAACCTGAGCTTCAACAACGTCGGTAAGGACGGCGCCTCGGCCATCGCGAAGCTGGTGAGCATCTACCCCCGGCTGACCCACCTGGACGTGACCTCTGCCGAGATCCCGTCCGAGGGCCTGAGGTCAGGGGCGATGTTAGGGGGGATAGGCTCAGGGGGAAGGTGCATCGACCCCAAATCGCCCATTCATCGCCAATATGGACCCTATAGCCCACACCACCCAGGAGCGTTGCGGATTTGCTATCGGGAGCCTATCGCCGATCTATCGTCGATGTATTGTCGATTCCAGGTCGATGTTTTCCCCCGAGCCGGCCCGTCCCCCCTGATGTTGCCGTCACGAGGGAGATTGTGGCGACCCTGATAACGGCGCCCTGCCAGCTGGAGACGCTCAAGATCGGTGACAACGAGCTCAACAACGAAACGGGCGAGGAGGTTGCGAGGTTCCTGAACTCCGGGAGCGCCAGCAGGAAGTCCCTCAGGTCGCTGGACCTCGGCTCGCGCTCGTCGTTCACGCGGGGCTTCGAGGCGTGCGACCTCCTGAGGGGCTGCAGGGCCGCGCTGCAGAGCCTGGTCTTCCGTGGGCAGAGCCTCGAGGTCGAAGACCGCTGCAAGTTCATCTTTGCGGGCTGCAAGCACTGCATGGACCTGGCCAGCCTCGACGTGGGCCTGATCAAGATCGACAGGAGCGAGGGCTCGAAGCTGCGGGTGGGCAAGCTCTTCGAGAGGCCGCTGACGTTCCTGCTGACCGACGGCATGGCGGGAAACGACCCCACGAAGAGGGTGGATGCGGTGAAAGACTACATGGTGGTGTCGGCGTCGCGGATCGAGCTGATCGAGTTCTTGATCAAGCAGCGGAACGAGCCGCCTCGCAAGGGCGAGGATGGCAAGCGGGTGCGCCCTTTCGTGGACACGCGGGACGCCATCAGCGCCATACATGGCATCGTGAGAATATGTAATGAGGACACGGATTGGCCACAAGAGCTCCGCGACTGGCGCACGAAAGTCGTCGAGCTGATGCTGGGCCCGACTGCTAAAGAGGGTTTCTGCGAATCCAGATTGGTGCAGCTGCCTGTGTGTACTGCCGTCCTGGCAGCAACGAGTGACGAGAAAGTGATCCACCACGCGAGCGTGCGCGAGAAGGTGGACGCATGGCAGGTCCGAGCCAAGGAGGACGGGAAGACCGTGCTGCAGGAGGCCATCGAGGCGGAGTGCTCCGAGATCGCCTGCCTCGTCGTGAAGCGGAACAGCGCGGTGAAGTCCGAGTTCCTGCAGGGGCAGGACAAGCAGGACGTGACGCAGCTGTACTCCTCGCTGTGCAGCACCGATGGCCAGCAGAAATTCGACCGCGAGCCCGACTACATCGGGATCAACGACCCCTCGGACGCGACCCTCCTGGTGCCCCTGCGAGCCGCGGCCTCGCGGGGCATGTGGCAGGTGGTGCATGCCTTGCGGCAGGCGGCCAGGTGCGTAGACGGCTACGATCAGAACGTGTTCGGCACGAAGCACAGGCAGCGCACCGTCTGGCACGACCTCGCGACGCCTGAGTGGAGTGCTGGGGGGCCGAAGGGGCAGCAGGGCCAGCAGTCCGTCAACGCCGCGGAGCAGATCAACTGGGCGGAGGACCTCATCACCAAGGACTGCTCGCTCCTGGCGAAGGCCTACGACGACGAAGGGAGGCTTCCCCTGCACTGGGCTGCACAGAACAATCACCCGCAGCTCACGAGGATCCTCGTGGACCTCTACTGCCCAGGTTACGAGTACCTGCTGAAGAAGCGGGACCTACGCAATTTTAGCCCTCTGGAGTTGGCGGTGAAGCATGGTAACATTCAGACAGTGAAGGCTCTGGTTGCGGCAACCGAGCAGCACAGCAGCTTGACGAACTTGAGCATCACTTCGAGTTTCAAGAGAGAAGGCAACCCGTACCTCGACGACAACGAGGCTGGCTGGGGTGCGTCCAAGATCGCACGTTTCCTCTATTGGGTCTTTCGCAATGAGCCGTCCAGGAAGGAGATCTGTTGGCCATGCAGTGCCTACCACCTTGTTCTGCTACAGATGAACGTCGTCATGAGGGGCGACCACACGGATATGAATGAAGGCTTGGATATCGACAGAAAGCACAAACACAAGGGGATATTTGGGCGAGTTTTGAGCCAGCAGTCTTCGATCCAGAGGAGGAAGCGGAAGCGGGGAAGAAAGGCGGCGCCAGATGAGACGTCGAAGGAGATCATGCATGCGATCCGGCGCGGTGACGGGGTTACCTACAGAAGGTTATTCTTGATCCGGTACTTGTTGAAGAAGATGACGTTGTGGGTCGTCATCATGGGTATGCTTTTCCTCGTTGCACAGACAGTATTTGTTGGTGGATGGCTGTCGAACACGAGAATGTCTCCAGCGCTGACGCAACATGCGACATCATGGATGTTCGATTGGAACTTCGAGAAAAACGTTGTAGAATCTGAGGTTCCTTGGGAAACCGAGAAGTTCGCGACGACGTTCTACGACCTGTCGACGCCAGAAGACGTGTGGACGTTCATAAATGGCACTCTGTTCGGATTCATCTTTCCCGGCCTTGGGCCAGGCGAGGTCGGGTCTTCGTCTTTCTTGATAGGCAGCCCCGTGATCCAGATGGCGCCCTGGGTCTACGGTGACTGCGACACCCTCCTCATGAAGATCCCCAGGGTGTTCGAAGGCGGGGACTCATACCGGGCGTTCCAAGAATGGCTTCGCTTTTGGAGCGTCTCGCCTTCGGCGGAAGCGGGCGGAAGGCCGGCGGCAGGCGTCGGAAGAACCAAAAGCGGCGGGCCCGGTGGAAGTCAAATTGAGTCTTCGTCATTGTTGGATTATGGTTTCTTGGAGTCGCCCATGGCCTCCGTATCCTCTTGCTCCTCATACACCGTCGCGCCTTCCTCCTTCCCGAAGATGCGGAGGGGGAAGAAGGGTGGGAGGAGGAGGAGGAGGAGGAGGAGGAGGAGGAGGAGGACCAGTGCAAACCCAAGACGCATCAACGATGTTGAAATACACTATCCGTCCAAGACCCCTCTCCATAGCCCCCTTACAAGGGGTCAATTTCACAGGCCCAGTTGTGGGCGCGCCAAAACACCAGTCTTAGGACTTCAACGGCACGAGTTAACCTGACTGTTAGGTCTTGGCGATCCCGAATCGTGCCAGATCACCGTTCTTGGGACTTCAGCACCGCGAATCGACGTAACTGTTGTGCCCTGACAACCCTGAATCGTTCCGAACACCGTTTCTAGTCACAAAACTATGAAGACCGATAGCAGTTTGTATGTTGTAATACGAATGTGCGCGGCGCTGTGGCTTGAGCCACATTTTGAAAAGGAGCCACCCTCGATCCGTGAAGCTCTTGCATTGTTTAACGAATGTGCGCGGCGCTGAGGCGAGAGCCACATTTTGAAAATGAGCCGCCCTCAATCCCTGAAACTCTTGCCACTTTCTTGCAACGAATGTACGCGGCGCCAAGGCGAGAGCCACATTTCGACAACGACCCGCCCTCAATCCGTGAAGCTCTTGTTATTTTTCGGCGCTAAGGCGAGAGCCACATTTCGAAAACTACCCACCCTCCATCCGTGAAGTTCTTCCAATACTTTACCACGAATGTGCGCGGAGCTCAGGCGAGAGCCACCTTTAAAAAACGACCCGCCTTCAATCCATGAAGCTCTGGCAAATGTTCGAAACGATCAGGGCCAAGGCGAGAGCGACACCAAAAAGGCCATCCGCCCTCCATTTGTGACCTTATGGGCAATGTTCCATCAGGGTCATCATGATGAGGAATATCAGTTGAAACGACCGGCCCGCCCTTTCGACCAGCCTCGGGGTGCGACAGGGAGGAGTTGGAGGAGGAGGAGGGGAAGGAAGAGGAGGAGGAGGAGGAGCAGGAGTTGGAGTTGGAGTACGAGGAGGAGAAGGAGGAGAAGGCGTGAGGAGGACTGGGATGAGGAGGAGGAGGAGGAGGAGGAGGAGAAATCATGATGATGATGTGGAGGAGGAGGAGGAGGAGGAGGAGGAGGAGGAGGAGGCACGTGGAGGCATCAGGAGGCATCAGGAGGAGGAGGAGGAGGAGGCACCAGGAGGAGGAGGAGGAAGAGGAGCAGGAGGAGGAGGAGGAGGAGGAGGAGAAGGCATCAGGAGGAGGAGGAGGCATCGGGAGGCATCAGGAGGAGGCGGAGTAGGGGGAGGAGGAGGAGGAGGCGGAGTAGGGGGAGCAGGAGGAAGGGAGGAGGAGGAGAGGCGGGAGATGGCCGACCTGCGCGCGTCGCGCAGCGCGAATTGTGAACTATGGCGACCCACTCCCCCCCCCTGGCATCGGGGGCGGCAAAGAGGGGGGTGATGACAAGAGGGCGGTGGACATCATGGCAGGGGGGCACGGAGTCGCGCCGGATGTTGTGCCTCCGCGACTTGCTTTCAATACGTCCCCATGGCACCCCCTGGCCCGCGCACATGCCTCGGGCCACGAGTTGTGAACCCCCTTCGTGCACGCCCAACTCTTGCACGCTCCCGGCCCCCCCCGCAGGAGTGCGGTGGGTTTGTGTCGCGTCGGCGCGGCGGCGACCCAGTGAGGGCGTCGAAGGTGGAACGCCCCTAGAGGCCCAGGATTAAGTCGAGCGTGTCCCTCTACAGGAGGTATACGATAGTAGCACAATAGTGACACAACATAGTAACACAAAATAGTAACATAAGATAGTAACACAACATAGTAACACAAAATAGTAGCACAAAGTAGTAACACAATAGTAAGACAATATATTAACGCCCCTCTAGGCCAAAATAGTAACACAATAGTCTGGGAACGATCTGTTGGTTCTTTGTTATTGCGAAGGCCTTACGGCCTGTGCCGCCGACCCTGAAGACGACGAAGATGAACACGAGTGGGGGGGTAGGAGGCGGAGGAGGAGGAGGAGTGTGGGGGGGGGAAGAGGAATGGTGGATGAGGCGGATGAGGGAGGAGGAGGGGGGGAAGGATGAGGAGGGGGAGCAGGGTGGGGAGGAGGAGGAGGAGGAGGAGGAGGAGGAGGAGGAGGAGGAGGGGGAGGAGGAGGAGGAGGATTAGTGTAATCCCAAGAGTCATCAACGATGCTGGAATCAACCCTCCCTCCTAGCTACCTCTTCATGGACCCCATAAAACGTGTCATTTCCATTGAGGGAACTGCCTCGTTGGAAGACAACTGTTTGAAGATCCTGAAGCATGCCAAAACATTGTTCTCTGGGTTTCAACGCCACGTATCAACCCGACTGCTGCGTTTTGACGACCCAGAATCGTGCCATAACGCCTTCTGGGGGATTCCAACGCCGCGAATCAACATGATTGTTGCACCCGCATAATCCTGAATCCTTCCAACACACAATTATTGGTACGTTGGTCATGGGGATCAGTGAAGCTCTTGCACAATTTCAGACGGATGTGCGCGGCGCTAAGGCGAGAGCCACATTTTGAAAACGACCCGCCCTCACTTTGCGAATCTTTTGCAATGTTTGAAAACGAATGCGCGCGGCGCTAAGGCGACAGCCACATTTCGACAACGACCAGCCCTCAATCCGTGAAACTCTTGTAAGTTTTTGGAAACGAATGTGCGCGGCGCTAAGGTGAGAGCCACATTTTGGAAACGACCCGCACTCAACTCGTGAATCTCTTGCAAATTTCGAAAACGAATGTGCGCGGCGCTAAGGCGACAGCCACATTTTGAAAACCACCCGCCTTGTGAAATTTTGGCAAATGCTGAAAACGAATGTGCGCGGCGCTACGGCGAGAGCCACATTTCGACAACGACCCGCCCTCAATCCGAGAAGCTCTTGCAATTTTTGAACACGAATGTGCGTGGCGCTCAGGCGACAGCCACATTTCGACAACGACCCGCCCTCAATCCGTGAAACTCTTGTAAGTTTTTGGAAACGAATGCGCGCGGCGCTAAGGCGAGAGCCACATGTTGGAAACGGCTTGCTTTTCACTCCGCGAATACGTGGCAAATTTTGAAAACGAATGTGCGCGGCGCTATGGCGACAGCTACATTTTGAGAACCACCCGCCTTGTGGAATTCTGGCAAATGTTGAAATGTGCGCGGCGCTAAGGCGAGAGCCACATTTCGACAACGACCCGCCCTCAATCCGTGAAGCTCTTGCAATGTTTGAACACGAATGTGCGCGGCGCTAAGGCGAGAGCCACATTTCGACAACGACCCGCCCTCAGTCCGTGAAATTCGTGTAAGTTTTTGAAAACGAATGCGCGCGGCGCTAAGGCGAGAGCCACATCTTGGAAACGGCCCGCCCTCCACCGTTGAAGCCGTTGTCACTTTTAAGCTTCAGAGTCACGAGGTGTGAGAAACGTCTCAGGCGAAACGCCCGGCCCACCCTAATAACTGTCCTCGGGGTGCGACGGGGAGGAGTTATCTTCAAGGAGAAGGAATGGAGGAGGAGGAGGAGGAGGAGGAGGAGGAGGAGGAGGAGGAGGAGGAGGAGGAGGAGGAGGCGTTGTGGCATTCTGGGGTCTTTTGGAAACAGCTTTTCATGGTTTCAGGGGCGCTCGAGGAGGAAACATATCTGGGCGGCGTCCTTTGGCTGTCTGTGGGCCCCCTTTGGCCGTCCTTACGCGTTCTTGGGCTGTCTTGTGGGGATCAGGCCGTCTAGGGGTGCTCTTGCGGATCCGTCGTGGCGACCCCCTCCTCCTCCGGCGCATCTGCAGAGGGCCGCTCTGTAAAAGCCACAAACGGAGGATGCGAATCTGACCCCCCTCCCCCCCTGGATTGCCCACCCCGCCGGGGAAGGGACAAAGGGGAGGGGCTTCCACTTGACGTGACTGCGACGTGGGTCGATTTCCCTCAATCCTCCACCCGACGACGAGATGAGTGCTCTCTCACCCCCGACGGCGAAGGATAAACAGAAAAGGCGTCCCGTCGGCGGGACCAGACAGACACCCCATACACGCCGACAGGGTCGGCGGATTTGTCGTCCAAAATCCGCCAGTAGGAGGACATGCCCGACCTGAGCCTGGGATCTTCCAATCTATAAGGACCTGGCGATTGAAGAACAACCGACCGTTCAAGACTGAACGATCCACCCGGCGTCAGACACCGACCCCCAAGTCGTCACGGCACGAACTTGCCGTGCGGTCGGGAACTTGTGAAGGGGCCCCAGGACACACAAGTAAATACACACAGATAAAATGATTCCCCATATCTTCCCATGTTTTCGGGGTTGCTGCCTTCCCCCCCCCCCCCCACTTCCCATATTTTCCCATCTTTTCCTGGAGGTCGACGACTCATTGTGCCCGTGTGTTTCTGTTCCCTCCCGAGCTTGGGACAGCGTTCTGCTCCTCCGCTCCTTGCCCGCCGCGCCTCGGGGCGAGGCGCTGTCCCCTCCGCGGCCCCGCGGCGCCCACGTGCCGAGCCTTTCGCAGGCTTCCCGCCCCGCGGAGCGGAGCGACACGCTTGGTGGG